AGAGTATCCGAGGAATGAAACGGCATCTGGAGAACTGCTGCCAATGAGAATAGCCAAGTATAGGAGAACATACAGAAAAACTTCCTGACTGTAAGAGTGGTCTAACAGTGGAATATATTGCATTGGAGTGTGAAGGACTCTACTTTTTGAAGGTTTTTAAACAGAGGCTGGATGGCCATCTGATGTGAGTGCTTTGATTGTATATTCCTGCATGGCAGAATGAGGTTGGATTAGATAGCCCATGAGGTCCCTTCCAATTCTATGATTCCATGCTATCTATAGTTCCATGTATTCTTGGATGTAAGTCATGAGGTTACGGCTATGTATTACACTGCGGTAACAGGATATCATTCATATCTTTCAGTCTTAAAGATATAGAGAATTATAAATAAAATTGTACCATCAATCCTTCATATTCATAGATTCTGCATCAACAGATACCACCATCCATGGCTTGAAAATATTCAGCATGTACACACACAAAAAGTCCAAAAACCAAATCCTGCTTTTGCCATTTTATACAGTGGACCAGAGATTGGTTCCAGGACTCCCTGTGGATACCATAATATCTGGATGCTTAAATTCCATTATAGACAATGGCATAGTAAAATAGTGTACCTTATATAAAATGGCAAAATTAATCTGCTTTTTCAATATTTTTTTTAAAAAACATTCAAGCCATGGATGATTGAAATTGAACACTGGCTATATAAGGGATACCATTTTACTATACAACTGTACATAATGGGACATAAACATCAGTGTATTATGGTATTGACTGGGGATCTGGGGATCAAGCCCAAATAGATCACAGGGATTCATGGCACTTATTAAAGCAGAATTGAGACATAGGGCAATCTACACTTAAACAAAAATGTGGGTCTTTTTAATTTTGTTATCTAGCAAAATATTTTTTTCTGAAGAAAAACAGAATAAAATACAAAAATTAGACAAATACACCTGCAAACCTTTGCTTCTATCACTTTTTTCCCAGAAATGCCTGAGCAAATGGAAAAGGGGAAATTCTATTATCATTATCATTATTTGGAGTCAACTGGGGTAAATTGTTGGGCAATGCAGATATTTCATTTGGATATGGATCTAGATTACGTGTTAACAGCTAGTTTGTTTTAACTTTTGCTGTAATGTGGGTTGTAGGCTGTATTTGTGTGTCAAGTGTGTTTGTCAAGTTTTTGATATGGCCAATGGGCTAATCAACATGGCCATACAGCCTGGAAAACTCACAGCAACCCAAATGTACATATTATTATGATGTTTAATTATACCCTGTTTTTTTCTCCCCACAAAGAGACTCAAATTCTGGCCCTATAAAAATGTGTTTGTGTATAGAATATCCCAGAGCAGTCCTCTATGTTCATACCAGAAGCACAAGGAAGAGGAGTAAATGAAACACTATTTTCCTCCTCCACCCCAGGCTAGAACCATTTTCTCATCCCAATGTTTACCTTGAATCAACAGTCAATATCAGAATAAGCATCAGTAATGCAATAAACAGTAGCTAGATTGCAAGAAACAATCCCAATGGCCCCAAATTCCACTAGACCAGACTCATCACCACTAAGTAAGACAAATAGGCTAATGGTATGGCTATTTAAAACCAGAACCATTCATTTACTTGATTAAGAAACAAACAAGCAAGAACAAAGAGATATACAAGTATGTGTGTCCTGATATATCAAACACCTTGTTATGTTATGTTACGTGACTATTATGCAATGTCCTCATGGCAAAACATTTATTTTGAACCTGTAACTACCACCTCAGATGGAGAGAAAAACTGTCTGTGTTTTTAGGACCAAAAAGTCCTCCAGTCCTAATCAACATAGTTTTTAATCAAGTATTATGGGAGTTGTAATACAAACACAGCTGAAGTGTTTGGCAAGAGTTGCCAACCATTGTAGTGGGGTAAAGGTGCTTTTCAAACATATCAAAAGGTAGATATCCTTATTACTATTCCACATACAGTAGAGTCTCACTTATCCAACATAAACAGGCTGGCAGAACCTTGGATAAGTGAAAACGTTGGATAATAAGGTGGGATTAAGGAAAATCCTATTAAACATCAAATTATGTTATTATGTTATGATTTTACAAATTAAGCACCAAAACATCATGTTTTACAACAAACTGACAGTAAAAGCAGTTCAATACACAGCAACATTATGTAGTAATTACTGTATTTATGAATTTAGCACCAGAACAGACAAGGGTTCTTTCTTTCTCCCACCCTGGACTGTGTTGGATAGTACAGAACATTGGATAAACAAAGGTTGGATAAGTGAGACTCTACTGTACTTACAAGGCCAAAACCAAATCAACCCCCACAATGTCAATGGGATCTCACTAGTGAAAGTAATCAGAAGGGGATGAATGAACACACCAGCAGAAGGAGTAAGTTACAAAAGGTCAGCAATCAGAGAATAAAAACACTCCTCCATTTCATACACATGATTTTGTTTACTAAGCCTTCATTTTCCAGCATGGGATAATAGTTTCCAAAGGGAGGAAAAGGAGAAACATCACTTTGCTCAGTGGCAGAACACATGCTTTGCACGTAAAGGTTCTCAAGCTAAATCCCTTGTCAATTCACAGGTAAGGCTGAGAAACAATCCTACCTGACACCCACACAGTCATGATTAGTGCAGGAGTGTGCAGATGGTTCATCTGAATCCACCAGTAGATCTTTGGGTGATCCATTGGCCAGGATCTCTATTCCCAATTAGGTTACAACGACCATAAAATGGCACCATCATCAACGGTGCTCTTATTAGACCATTGCAATAAGGAAAGCTTAAAGCTAGGTGTGATCAAAAGTACATTTTATGGTAAGTGCTGAGAGTTGTATTGAAAACTTGGAGCTCTACCAGCTTGCTTCAGTTGAAGTTCTAGTAAAAATTAAAATGGATCCTACATGTGTAGTATACAGAATATCGGCCTAGCGAGACCAAAACAAGTCTGCATTCTAAGTGAATGCCAGAAAATGAAGGGTAGAATAAGCAGAACAATAGAGGACAACACATTTATGGCCCCAATTTATTTACAGGAGGCATCATGAAGACATCTAATATTCCTACAATGCCCTGCTCACACATGTGATTTTTATATCAGTATTAGACACAAAGCATCTACTCAGGCTGATCTGCCTGTGTCAAGACTGATTCAGTCATTCCCCCAGCCCATAATGTGATGTATGTAGCATGTCACATGACTAAAACAGCCAGGAGGTACATCCTCTTCCTTCAAGAGGAATGGAAGAGCTCATTAAAAAGGTGCATTCGATCCCATTTCATCAAAATGGACACTACCACTGTCTTTAGCTTTCACACACTGTGAGAATAGCAACCTAGCTAGCTTGCATCAGAGCAGATGGTTGCAAAATGCATGCACACGGAGCAACAACAGCGACGCATGACCATTAAGACATATCCCCATGACATGTCTTAATAGCGGCACATCAGGGTGTGCAATGGGCATTTCCATGCCGCCTTTCTTTCCACATATTCCAGAGAGGGTTGTTTATATTATCATCAAAGCCTGAGACTAGGAAAAGAGTCAAGAGAGCAGTGGGGTTGGTTCATCTACCTTACTGCTTCTGTTTTTGATGCCTGGACACATTGTATGTGTTCCTTTCCCAAATATTGTAGCAGCAATGTAGATTTCGAAGGAGAAGGGGAGGGAAAAAGATTAGATTTGGAAGAGACACATTAAGCAACCTTCAAAATGGGCAAGAGGTGACCAAGACGATCTCCAATACACCTTGCATTTAAATGTGCCTTCCATCTCTCCCCTTTCATATTATATATGAGCGAGGAAATGCACTATTAAGGGGTAACAACAAGGAGCGACCTAGACCTCACCATCTTAGAGAATGAATTCACTTTCAATCTGGTTGCTACCTTCTGCAGGATTCTGGGGTTTGTAGTTTAAGGAGGAGCCTTTAACAGCCTCCCTAAACTACAAACCCCAGAATTCTGCAGGAGGCAGCAGAATGGGTGAGAGGTGACCAAGACCATCTCAAAACACCTTGCATTTAAATGCACCTTCCATCTCTCTCCTTTCTTATTATATATGAGTGAGGAAATGCACCATTAAGGGGTAACAACAAAGAGCAACATTCATGCTGTAGTGTGATGAGTTCTTCGAGACCTCATCACACTAGAGAATGAATCCACTTAAAATCCGGTTTCTGCCTCTTGCAGAATTCTGGGGTTTGTAGTTTAAGGAGGAGCCTTTAACAGCCTCACTAAACTGCAAACCCCACAATTCTGCAGGAAGCAGAAGAATAGGCGAGAGGTGACCAAAACCATATCCAAAACACCTTTAATTTAAATGTGCCTTCCATCTCTCTCCTTTCATATCATATATGAGGGAGGAAAAGAAACATTAAGGGATAACAACAAGGAGTGACATTCAGTCTCTAGTGTGATGAAGTCTTAGAGACCTCATCACACTAGAGAATGAATCCACTTACAATCTGGTTTCTGCCTCCTGCAGAATTCTGGGGTTTGTAGTTTAAGGAGGAGACTTTAACAGCCTCACTATACTACAAACCCCAGAATTCTGCAGGAAGCAGCAACCGGATTTAAAGTGGATTTATTCTCTAGTGTGATGAGAGATAGATGCTGTTTCCCAGCTGTGCTTGGTTGATCCCTCTTCTTGCCCTTTCCCCATAGTATTTATTATCACCAGTGGGTTCTAGACAGCTCTCCATCTCCATTCAGAACAGGAACACCCACACATCTTCCAGGAGGGAAGGCTTTCTGTCAATAACAAAAACAACCCTGCTGTTATCAAGAGGAGCAGTTTGTGCCCATCTGGGAAGTTCTGGGATGATAAGGAAGGAAAGGGAAAGGCTGGATGGATGGGGGGAAAGGGGACATCTGTTGTGGGGGGAGGGGGCAGCGAGGCTGGGTGGGCTCCTCTGCCACACACACACACACACACACCCTCCCAAGCCCCCCCCCCTCCCTGCTTCTTACCCTCAAGGCGGAGAGATCGATCTCGTCCAAGCTCCGCGCTGGAGAATCACTCGCCATGTTGAGTGGGGGGCTCCTCCACCGAGGAAAAACGGCCCCAGGGAAGAAACCCACGGCGCTGGCTTCGGGCTCCGGCCTCTCCTGCTGCCCCACAAGCTCAGCAAGCCCTCCGTCTTCGGCTGGGTGGGAAGCGAGGGTCCCTGTATGGAGACCTCCAGCCTCTCCCTCTCATGCGCCCTGCTTGCGCTTCTACTGCTGCTGCTGCTGCCAATGGAGAGGAGCGGCACCCTTTCCCTCTTCTCCTCCTTCTTCTTCCTTCTTCCTTCCTTCCTTCCTTCAACGCTTCCTTCCTCCGACCAGCGTCCCCCAGGAAAGGGCAGCGAAAGCGAGAGGAGAAGCAGGAGATCCGGCGCCTTGGACGAGAGGCGAAGGCGAGTGCGCCCGGGCACTTTTACGCGCCCCTCTCGGGGAAAGAGGAGGCGTGCAAAGGCGGAGAAGGGAAGGTGCCTCTGCTCGGGAGGGTCTGCTTTTTAGGAGGGCATGGCTGGCTTCTCCTGGCCCGGGTGGGGAGGCTACCTCGGTTTCCCCGCTCCTCTCCCTCCCGGTGAAGATAACGAGGCGATTCCCGGTGCGGTCCCGGCGCACCTCGCCTCCTCCACTCGCTCGGATGGAGAGGCAGAGAAAGCTGTCACCGAGGAGGAAGAGGAGGAGGAGGAAGAGGAGGCTTCCTGGGAGGGGGGCCAGGGAGGGGCGGCGCCTCCTCCGCTTCTCTGGGGAGGGGGAGGGGAGAGGAGGGGAGGGGGAAAAGAGAGCCAGGCAATAGCGTTGTGTGCCGGTGGGCTTGGCCACTACAACACAAACACACCCAGGCATTACAGCTTGTGTCCAAAAGCACACTCTATCCACTCAGTAGGATAATGATTATTATCTCAAGGCCAAGCAAATATATGTAGAACCTTCCTAACCCCTTAATACAGTTCCTCACGTTGTGTTGACCCCCAACCATAACATTATTTTCGTTGCTGCTTCATAACTGTAATTTTGCTGCTGTTATGAAAGGTTCTGCCAACCTAGCAGTTCGAAAACATGCAAATGTGAGTAGATCAATAGGAACTGCCCCGGTGGGAAGGTAAAGGCGCTCCATGCAGTCATGCCGGCCACATGATCTTGGAGGTGTCTACGGACAACGCCGGCTCTTTGGCTTAGAAATGGAGATGACCACCAACCCCCACACTTAAGCTCCATCTGCACTGTAGAATTATTGCAGGGCAACACTACTGTAATTGCCAGGTCTCCATGCTATGGAATCTTTGGAGTTGTAGTTTAGGGAAGCATCAGCACTTCCCAAAACTACAACTCCCATCAGTTATGAATCATCATGTAAATATTCGATATGCAAAATGTGTTTTCATTCACAAGTATCCAATGTGTCCAAATTTGAATCCTGGTGGTCTTGGGGGAGGATTGATTTTCTCATTTGGGAGTTGTAGTTGCTGGGATTTATGGTTCACCTACAATCAAAGAGCATTCTGAACTCCAACAACGATGAAATTGAACCCAATTTGGCACACAGAACTCCCATGACCAACAGAAAATGCCGGAAAGGTTTGGTGGACATTGATCTTGAGTTTGGGAATTGTAGTTTACCTACATCCAGACAGCACTGTGGACTCAAGCAATGATGGATCTGGACCAAACTTGGCTTGAATACTTGATATGGCCCAATGTAAACACTATTAGAGTCTGGGGAAAATAGACCTTGACCTTTGGGAGTTGTAGTTGCTGGGATTTATAGTTCACCTACAATCAAAGAGCATTCTGAACCCCACCAATGATAGAACTGGGCCAAACTTTCCACACAGAACCCCATACCTTGAAGGGACTTACAAGTCTCCCCTTAGCCTCGCATGCTCTCCCTTGCCCGCACATGCGCACCACGCTGCCATGCCCCTAGCATGCCTGCTCTCCCCTCCTCCACTTGGAGTCTCAAAAACAGCCCTCAGTTTGGCTGAAAGGCTGGCTGAGAGGCTGTCCAATCACAGCAGAAGAGGGCTTTTGCTGAAAGGATTCATCATCTGTTTCCAAAAAGGAAGAGAAGAACAGGCAGAGAGATCTTCAGCCTTCTCTGCCAAAGGGGTTCCCAAGACCATCAGAAATATATGTTTTCTGATGGTCTTTGTCAACCTCTCTGAAACTCCCTCGCAATCCTCCCAGAGGTCCCAACTCCCAAGTTGAGAAACGCTGCATTACAGCTTGTGTCCAAAAGCATACTCAATCCACTCATCATGATGGTGATTATCCCACGGCCAAGTAAATATATTTAGAAAGAAGAACAAATCTCACAACAAGGATTTGTAATAATAACAACGTCTGCTTTGATTGTGTGTTTCTGGATGGCCCGTGGGGTCTTTTCTAACCCTCCAGATGTTTTGGACTTAAACTCCAGAACTCTCTCTGTTAGGAATTGTGGGAGTTGAAGTCCAAAACACCTGGAGAGCCGAAGTTTGCCCATGCCTGATTTAGGACTAATGCCATTCACACCACCTTAACTGTTCTCAGTGCTATGGGATCCTGGCAGGTGTGATTTTACAAAGTATCGAGCCTTTTCTTTTCTTGGGCCCCTTCTACAAGAACATCCACATTATATGATTTGAACTGGATTATATGAGTCCACAGGAGCCCCTAGTGGTGCAGTGGGTTAAACCACTTAGCTGCTGAACTTGCTGACCAAAAGGGTGGAAGCTCAAATCTGGGGAGCGAGGTGAGCGCCTGCTGTTAGCCCCAACCTAGCAGTTCAAAACCATGCAAATGTGAGTAGATTAATGAGTACTGCTTCAGCAGGAAGGTAGCAACGCTTCATGTAGTCATGCTGACCACATGATCTTGGAGGCATCTATGGACAACACCGGCTCTTCAGCCTAAAAAATGAGATGAGCACCACCCCCCCGAGTTGGACACGACTAGATTTAATGTCATGGGAAACATTTTCATTATATGCATCCACACTGCCATATAATCCAGTTCAAAGCAGATAATCTGGATTTTATATGGCCGTGTAAAAGGGGCCTAAGAAGGGTGGCCTTTTGCATGGACCCCTGGCAGTTAAAGTGGGGCCAAACTGCTTTATGTCTACAGTGTAGAATGCCCTCTCAGACTGAAGGAGTATTGCCACAATAAGGATTTATAGCAATAATGGTAATAATATCTGGCCTGCTTTGATTGGGTGTTCTTTCATGGCAACAGCATGGTCCTTGAGGGTCTCTTCCAACTCTATGATTTCATCAGAATTACAAATCCTACATATAGGCTCCATCTGCACTGTAGAATTATTGCAGGGTAACACTACTGTAATTGCCAGGTCTCAATGCTATGGAATCTTGGGAGTTGTAGTTTTGGGAAGCATCAGCACTCTTTGTTTATAACTTGCTAAATATTTGGTAAAACTACAGCTTCCATGCTTCCATAGTATTGAGCCATGGAAGTTAAAGTGATGGCAAACTATTAATTCTACAGTTCAGAGGCACCTTTAGATGACACTTTCTTGGAGTTATCCATTGGAGATCAATGGGGCTTGGATATGATGATGCCTCTACTTTGCAGAATTATGCAGTTTGATACTCCTTTAATTGCCATGGCTCAATGTTATGGAACTATGGGATTTGTAGTTTGGTGAGGTATTAACACTGTCAGATAGAGAAGGTTAAAGAACCTATAAAACTATAACTCCTGTGATTCAAAAGCATTGAGTCGTGGCAGTAAAAGGGATGTCAAACTGAATTAACTGTACAATGTAGATCAGGCATGGGCAAACTTGGGTCCTCCAGGTGTTTTGGACTTCAATTCCCACAATTCCTAACAGCCTCAGGCCCTTAAGCAGCTGAGGGGGAAAAGGAAAGGGCCTGAGGCTGTTAGGAATAGTGGGAGTTGAAATCCAAAACACTTGGAGGGCCCAAGTTTGCCTATGGTTGGTGTAGATGCACCCTGAGTTAATACAAATGCATTAGCTACAGCTGTAATCCTTACTCCTGAGCAATTTCCATTGAATTTAATAAGGCCTCCTTTTAAGTAAAAGCATTGGAATGGGCTGTAGATTGCACCAGATATTTTCCCTTAAAGGAGGGAGCTGGTGCTGAATGCCTTAAGAAAGGGAGGGAAATAAAACCTCTCAATTCAAAATCAAAATCAGAAAGAAGGAAACTGTGCTCAGTTTCATTAATCCCAACCCTGCAGTTTCTTTTGAATTTATCCAATAGCGAGCTCTGCAAACTGACCTTTCCCTGTTTGAATCATAAATTCGGATTTAATGCCAACAGTATGAATTCAAATCAGGCCCCTTAAAAGCAGCCGTTCTCAAACGCGTGACCAAAATTCCTCCCTTCGGTCTAACTGCAGATGGAGAAAGAAAAGGGCTTTCTGTTTCACCCAATGACACGTGAGATTAAAAACAACTGCATTCCTTCTGCTAGCAGGAGCAGTAAAATATAAAATCATCGCGGCACCTTATTTTTTTCTGTCTTTGGTGAAATGTATTCAAAGTTTGTTTCTGCAAAAACAAAACAAAACAAACAAAAAGGATTGGCAGGGGTTTCCTTGAAAACACCACTCCAAGGAGCTCAGGGCCTTTCTAGTAAACTCTGGGGTGTGTAGGCTGATGTTGAAGGCCATGCATGCCCAGAGGCACTCTTGCTTCATCATGTTTTCACTTTTCCAGAGGGTTAAATCCTGAGTCACAATTTGTCCTGCAAGCATGGATATTGTTCCAGCACTTTTAAAAATAGTTAAAGGCCCCATAGCCAGTGTCACGTACTGGTTCAAGTGTTTGATTAGGATTTTGGAGACTTGGGTTTGAATCCCCACTTCATCTTGAAAACCTTGGGAAAGTCACATCCAGAGCGTGGCAAAGGTAACTGTCCTTTGAAAAAAGTGCCCAGAAAACTTTGTGATAGGCTCCCTTAAAGGTAAAGGTAAAGGTTTCCTTTTGACATTAAGTCTAGTTGTGTCCGACTCTGGAGGGTGGTGCTCATCTCCATTTCTAAGCTGAAGAGCCAGATTGTTCATAGATGCCTCCAAGGTCATGTGGCTGGCATGACTGCATTGAATGTTGTTACCTTCCCACCAAAGCGGTACCTATTGATCTACTCACATTTGCATTTTTACGAACAGCAAAGTTGGCAGAAGCTGGGCCTAACAGCAGGAGCTCACCCCACTCCCAGATTTGAATGGCTGACCTTTCAGTCAGCAAGCTCAGCCACTCAGTGGCTTACCCGCTGTGCCACCGGAGGCTCCCTTAGGGTCCCTTAGGGTTTCTAAAATCGGAAATGAACAAGATGTCTGGAATACTATACATTTCAACCTGGAGTCTTGGGGTGCATCTGCCCTGCATATTTAATACAGTTTGACCTTGCTTTTGCTGTCCAAAGCTCAATGCCATGGAATCCTAAGATCTGTATTTTGGTGAGGCACCAGTGCTCTGTGGCAAAGGATGTTAAAGACATTGTAAAACTACAATTCCCTTGATCTCATAGGATTGAGCCATGGCTATTAAAGTGGTGTCAAACTGCATTATTTAGCACAGCGGGTTAAACCACTAAGCTGCTGAAAATCCTGTCAATTGAAAGGTAGGCAGTTCAAGCCTGGGTTGGGGTAAGCTCCCACTGTCAGCCTCAACTTCTGCTCGCCTAGCAGATCGAAAACAGAAATGTGAATAGATAAATAGGTACTGCTTTAAGCAG